AGCTGAAAAAGTGGGTTTGTGCCAGAGAAATCAACAAATTAAATTAATTGTCACTTAAATGGAAATGATCTAATGAAAAGGGGGAAGTTAATTATTTTTTAATTAAAGTGATTGACTCCCATTGGAATTTTGGCAGGAACATAACTCCTGAATTAAGTTATAAATTATGAGACAGGAGCTGCATCTACACTGTAGAAATAATGCAGTTTCACACCACTTTAAGTACTGCAGCTCCATCCTATGGAATCTTGGGATTTGTAGTTTTACAAGGTATTTAGTTTTCTTTGCCAAAGAGTGCTGGTGTTCACAAAACTACAAACCCCAGAATTTTGTAAGATGGAGTGATGGTAGTTAAAATGATGTCAAACTGGGTTATTTCTACAGTGTATATGCACCCTGAATAAGGCATAACTCCCTTTTGAGATGTGAATCTAACTTTTTAGTTGCTTTTTTTTAATCATGAAAGGGATGTAGCTTCACTGAACAGTGAAGGAATAATGCATGGTTCAACTGCTGACTTGTGGTGTGCCTTGTGCAGCTACCTTGTGCGATCTTGTTGCCAGTGGATAACAAAATCTGTGGATGCTCAAGCCCCATTAAATATAATGGCATAGCAAAATGGTGTCCCTTATATAAAATGGAAAATGAAGATTTGCTATCTGGAATTTATTCTTTCTTTGAATATTTTCAAACCCTGGATGCTTGAATCCGTGGATAAAAAAATCCATAGATAAGAAGGGCTGATTGTAACTTTGCAAGCTCCGCTACCCAAAGCACATCATCTGCAACAGGACTTTTTTGACCATTGGTTGATTTAGGCAGCTTCACTGTGTGAATGAATGCAGCATCTGTGTAATTCTTAAGTGAAATCAAGTGAAAAAAGAAGTGACTTTATGTGCAACCTTTGTACTTGAGGTTAACACAACCCCACCCCAACAATGATGATGCAGTGGTGCCACTCACTTCCAAAAGGTATAATTGGACAGTCTGCTATTTTTTAATTTCCTTGAAACAACTTTTTTTCCAGCTCCCATGCCGAACTGAAGTCTCCTCCGCTAGCAGTGTGACAGAACGCAGTCATGCCAATGCTTACCCACTGGTTTTTGAAAACAAATAGGTATTTCTTACAGTGATGAAAAGACTGACGCCGTCAACTGCATGCATAACATGGAACACACAACTTATCCATGCTGCCCTCCTACTGGCTTTTGCTTGATCTGGAATGCCCACACAGTCACTCCATAAAAGTTGCATTCTTGTCTTTTCTTAATGAAGGGCTGGTGGTGGCAAGCAAGTCTGTGAACCCCTCTCCACAGAAACCACCAATACTTAATCCTTTCAACAAACCTTTTCTCTATGCCCTAGTGCTGCACTTTTGCTCCCATATAATCTTCTTGTATCAAAGGAAGAATTGTAGAAAAATGGATTCAGCTTAGGGGCCACTGGTTGTCACATTGCAGAATTAATGCAGCTTGACACCTCTAGACCTAGACCTTGTATACCTGCACCTATATGCTAAACTCCGCATTAGACCTATCTAGGGTCATTCCATTAAAAAAAAAACCTGGACATCAGTTAGTTGTGACTTACAAGGGTCATTCAGTCTGGTGGATCTACTATGGGTACAACTCATGTTGGAATAAGCCCTATGGTTTTTAAGTATAGGGACGGAAAAGAAATTTGTTTGGTCCATATTGTTCTATTGGTAATGCCACACTGCAAAATTAGTACAATTTGACACCGCTTTGACTGTCATGGCTCCATCCTATGGAATCCTGGGATCTGTAGTTTGGTGGGGCACCTGAACTCACTTAAAAATATCTCACAGATATCTCACAAAACTACAAATCCCAGAATCCCATAGCATCAAGCCATGCCAGTTAAAACTGTGTCAGATGACATTAATTGTGCAGTGTAGATGCAGCCCTAGTTACAGTTATATCCCAACAATTTCTCAAAGAACTCAGGACAAAATACAATGCAATTTATACAAAATGCAATACAATCCTCTGATGCAATTTCATCCTCACAACAACCCTGTGAGGAAAGTTAGGAAGAGAAGGGGGCAGAGGGAGAGAAATTGGCCTAACATCATCATCCAATATTTATCTATTAGGTGTATCTTTCTTTTTCACATGAGTCTTCAAAATAGCTTTCCTCATTTACAAAACCCTCAGTGAAGGTACTAGAAACTCAAAACAAAACGATATGCTCCACTGGAGTAGAAACAAACATCGGATGCACTTTCTTACAGAAGAGGTGGTGTCATGTGTTCTGGATCTGTCAGGAGAAGGAGAGAAAATATTAATAGCTCTGTTGCATGTAAGTATTCCTCTCTCTTAAAGTTGCATCTCCAGATGTAGCAATCTGT